GAAAACAACAGAATTGAGCATACCGACCCCTGCGAAACCGAAGTCGCAGGCAGACCAGCTTTTCCAGCTAAAAGAGGAGGAAAAACCGTCCTGGCCACGAAATCAGCAATCGCCGGAGAAGACAAGATCAATTCCGCTGCAAGAAGATTCAAAGCGAAGTTGGCTAGGTAACTTCAGACCAACCGTTGCCAATACTCTTAAAGAGAGGAAGCATTTTGCTATTGAGTTGGATTTGAGTATTAACACATGTGACATTTGTTTTATTAATCTCTCTGTGTATCTCAAGGTCTTCGAGCAGATTTAGTTTAAAGTTGCAATTAAAAATATTATGAAGAACAGTGACATTCTCAGGAGTGAAGTTATGATTGGCTACTTATATATATTGTAGTGTAACCAACTGAAATAAAGAGAGACAACTTAACTAATATCTCTCTCTCTCTCTCTTTTATAAAAGTATGATAAATAAAGTGGCGGCGTGATCGACTATGAAGTGACTAGGACACCACAAGTTACAGATTGAAAGATTCGTTATCTATTGGCTACTTACGTGTTATTGAGGGAGTGGTAAAGGTTAAAAGAAAATATCTATTGATTTATATCTAATCTTTATTGAAAATATTATAGATGACAGAATCAGAAAGTAAAAATTTACAAGTATATAAAATATATTTATAAAGATTAAATATAGGTCTGGTAAGGTGCAATAAAAAAAATAATTAATTTATCAAATGAGGGGAAAGAACCAGCAAGAAAACCCCAAAGTTATAATAAATACAATAAAACCAATCAAACGTCAATTTGGATACAAATGACAAATTAAATATATATATAAAAAAACACATTTAATTACTTGATGATTTAGATAAACACAGAAAAATATATGAAATAATAGTCAATTTGAGTTAAACACAGGAAAACATATGAAATAATATTCAATACATTATATAAAATAAAAACAATATTTGATACTGCAAGGCAAAAATAAAATAAATATTTTAAGAACAATAACTCATCAGATAACAAACATTGAGCATTACTAAGTTCAAACACACTCGATGCAAAACTGAAGAAGGGTTAATAGGGACAAGGTAATGGGGAAGCTCTACAGCTTTACTACCCACCTAAAGTTGAATATTCTGGTGACAAAATAGGGTAAGTTACCGAGACACCTATCCCGATGTTGTCCCAGCCACGGGCGAAAATGTTAGTATCAATCAACAAGGCATTTTATACTTTTAACTTAGATCTGCCAATGCTGTGAATATCTGATGTTAGAAAAACACATAATTTACTAATATAATATTACTTTTCCCTTGCCGAACTTTAAAAATGACAAAAAAAATAATCTCAAAGTCAAATAAAAATTATAGCAAATTTTCCTTGGTATAACTATAAAATATCAATAAACTTCAAAAATATTTAAATTAAAATATTAAAAAGGATGCTATTTTTCACTGATTTAGATAGTAAAATAAGTAATAAAATCAAATAAACTCGTTATTGGAATGCAAGCAATTTTTTATGACAGATACAAAAAAATGCCGTCAAGGAAAAGCATGAAATTACTTATAACAGTGAAATTCAAATCTAAATAGTAAATCATCAACTAGTTAAATAATATAAAAGTAATTGAAACATAATTACAGTAAAATTCAAATCTAAATAGTAAATCATCAACTAGTTAAATAATATAAAAGTAATTGAAACATAATAATTGATTTAAAAAGGCACTTACATTTTTATCACAAATAAAACTAACAAAAAAACTAAACCTTTTCAACAATGACGGACATTCCATTCTCCACGTTCAATCACTGACATTCAATAAATCATTAATTCCCGTTCCTATGACGATGATTCTCTGCTTCTGTTCCAGTGCATCCACGACTTTGGTTCCTGGAATTTACCGCGGTCAAAAGCGATAGAATAGGTGGACGCTTTATATTGCCATTCAACGGGGACGGAATTAAATACGATCCCTTTCAATATATGTAAGTTGAACAAATAAACTAAAATATTTAGGAAGTCTTTATTTTAATTATAAAACGTTGGAACAATATTATAAGTTTTCATGAAAAGCCCTAAAGCAAACAAGAGGATGAATATTTATTTTGCATACACCACAGCCAAATGTGGTATTTTTTTGCAGACTTTGCATCTATTTTGCTTAAAAGAATCAGGATAATGTATTGTCACAATTATTCCTTAAATTGAATTAATTTATTTTCATTCGGCTCAGTAAATAATTTAACATCCTGTATGTTAAATTATTTCTGAATAGTAGGTCGATTTCGAAATACTTTTAAATCGTAGAGAATGCATTTCATAGTTTCATAACAATTAAGTTAAAAAAACTAATGAACTTTGTGCTGACTCGACGATTTTGGAAGTCTTGCGAAATCGACCTACTATTCAGTCTATTCAGACTTCCAAAATCGTCGAGTCAGCACAAAGTTCATTAGTTTTTTTAACTTAATTGTTATGAAACTATGAAATGCATTCTCTACGATTTAAAAGTATTTCGAAATCGACCTACTATTCAGAAATAATTTAACATACAGGATGTTAAATTATTTACTGAGCCGAATGAAAATAAATTAATTCAATTTAAGGAATAATTGTGACAGTATGACCGATGCATCTCTTTGAATATTTTCCGGGATATTTCTGAACATAACTTCTTTTAATTTTGGACGACCCACCGAAGATTCTTTGGAATCTAGTAGCAAATATGTTGCAACAATACTTCTTATAAACGCCAGAAAATCTAAATTTTTTTCTAGACTGGCTTGTGCAATCGCGTTATTTCTGAGATCAATATCTAGACTCCAATTCAAATCACGACGAGGTCTGCAGTTATATCCTGATATCATAAGACATGCAAAGAACAACTTGATCTCTTTAACTGATACCTCAAATGAAGTGTTTGCATCTACTTGGTGGGCATAGAGAATAGTTTGAGAATTTTCATCTTATTTTCTAAACTGTAACTTTTGAAAACTTTTTTTATGTCTTAAATACCTTAAATATGTCCATTAATCACGAAAATCAGCATTAAAAATTTCTAAGTGCCCCAGTTTAGAAAATAATTTTTTTTTGGATCGAAGAATTTTCGTTTCAGAATTTTCATCTTACTTTCTAAACTGTATGTTTTGAAAACTTTTTTTATGTCCCAAATACCTTATATATGTTCGTTAATTACGAAAATGAGCTTTAAAAATTTCAAAGTGCCCCAGTTTAGAAAAAAATTTTAGAAAATATATTTTTTTTTTTTTGTTTAAAATGGACCCTTTATTTTCTCAACTTTCCTATTTATTTTTTTCTTTTTTAAAATTTACTGTTTTTATTTTGGCTTACTAAAATAAAAGTGAAAAGGTTTAATTAAAATACAAATATATTTTAACGTAAAATTTTTTAATTAATCAATTATAATATAAAAAAAATTTAAATTGAAATAATATTGACATGATATCTAAGAAAACAATTATTTTATTTCAGACGTCAAAGATGAATTAGGCGTTGGTGTCGAGATGGCGTCGGTTTTTAGCAGGCGTCGGCGTCGAGCAGGCGTCGGCCTAAGAAACATAATTTTATAAAAAAGGAAACAAATTAAAAAAATGAAATACAAAGCATTGACTGCAAAACAGGCGTCAGAATGGACACGTCGCCGTCGAATAGATCTCTATGTCAAAATAGACATCGGTGTCGAAGTAGGCATCCATTTAAAGGCATTTAAGAGAAGAGAGTTATTACCTGCAATAATTTATTTATCCCGTAACAATAATACCTACCAAATTAGGATGAAAAAAAAAATTTTAATAAATGATATCGTTATTCCTATATACATTATAAAATTTAATGTAAAAAAATTCAGGTTTTATTGGGAAATAATAGTCATTAATCTTTAAATTACGGTTTAAAATTAATAAAAAAAATAATACATACCCGAAGTCTTTTACTGGAAAACTCCAAATCCAAAAATGGAAAACTCCAAAAATGAAAAACTCCAAAAATGAAAAACTTCAAAAATTTAAAACTCCAAAAATGGAAAACTTCTAAAAAGGAATACTTGGAAAGTGGAAATCTTGAAAAATTGTAAACTCAAAGTGGAAAACTTAAAAAATTGTAAACTCAAAGTGGAAAACTGGATTATTTGTAGAACCATACCTAAAATAAATATAAAATTAAAAAAAAAATTATAAATCAAAATTAAAAATTACATACATTTTAGGACTTCCTTTTGTGGACCGTCATGTGATTCAGAAATGAAATTTTCTTATCGAATTTCTTCAAACAAAAGCTGCAAACGTCATCTTTTTTTCTTCTATGAGTCTTACTATGATTATATAAGTTAATATAAAGTGGAAAATCTTAAAACAAATTTTACACATATATGGTGCTTCAGAACTTGCAGAATAACGATTAGAAGTGGAATTAGAAGTTGAATTTTCAGTAGAAGAACGATTATAAGTGGAATTTTCAGTAGAACAACGATTATAAGTGGAATTTTCAGTAGAAGAACGATTAGAATTTTTAGGAGAAGAACGATTATAATTTTCAGTAGAACAATATCTCACATTATTTGGAGAATGTAAATGTTTTTAAATTGTATTGAGAAGGTACATTTTTTAAATTGTATGTAGAAGATAATTTTTTTTTAATTAGATTAAATCTTTTAAATTATATGGAGAAGGTGAATCTTTTTTTAAATTAAATTGAGATGGTAAATCTTTTAAATTGGTTGGAGAATTTTGAATCTTTTAAATTGTATGTAGAAGGTAAAAATGTTAAAGTGGAGGGAGTAATTCTATGAAAATCCTTATCAGAATTAGAATCTTTCGGAATTTTCTTTCCCTTTGAACATAAGGGTAAAACTGAGAAAGATTTTGAAGGAGTCTCGTCCAGAACAGTTGTACATCATAAATGGAAAACTTCAAAAATGAAAAACTCTAAAAATGAAAAACTTCAAAAATTGAAAAATCCAAAAATTTAAAACTCTGAAAATGGAAAACTTCTGAAAAGAAAAACTTGAAAAATGAGAAAAACTGAGAAAGATTTTGAAGGAGTCGCGTCCAGAACAGTTGTACATCATAAATGGAAAACTCCAAAAATGAAAAACTCCAAAAATTGATAATCAAAAATTTAAAACTCCAAAAATGGAAAACTTCTGAAAAGAAAAACTTGAAAAATGGAATACTTGGAAAGTGGAAAACTTGAAAAATTGCAAACTCAAAGTGGAAAACTGGATTATACCTAAAATAAATATAAAATTAAAAAAAAAATTCTAAATCAAAATTAAAAATTACATACATTTTTTTACTTCCTTTTATGGACTTTTATGTGATTCACAAGTAAAATTTTCCTATCGAATTTCTTCAAACAAAAGCAGCAAACTTCATCTCCTTTTCTTGTATGAGTCTTACTATGATTATATAAGTTAAAATAACGTGGAAAAATCTTAAAACAAATTTTACACATATATGTTGTTTCAGAACTTGCAGAAGAACGATTAGAAGTTGAATAAGATGTGGAATTTTCAGTAGAAGAACGATTAGGAGTGGAATTTTCGGTAGAAGAACGGTTAGAATTTTCAGGAGAATTACGATTTTCAGTAGAAGAATATCTCACATTTGATGGAGAAGGTAAATCTTGTTTTAAATTAGATAGATCAGGTAAATCTTTTAAATTAGATGTGGATGGTAAATTTGTTAAATTTAATGTAGAATGTGAAGCTTTTAAATTGTATGTAGAAAGTAAAAATGGAGAAATTCCATGAAAATCCTCATTAGAATCAGAATCTTTAGGCGTTTTATTTTCCTTTGAACAGGAGGGTAAAACTGAAGACGATTCTGAAGGAGTCGCGTCCAGAACATTCGTATACCATACATCGCTTGGTTCAATCGTTTCAACCATTGGAGTACTAATTTGTGCAGGGCAGTTTAACATCGGAACGTCCAGACTACTCGTACCTTCTGCCGTTGCACTAAAACTGCTTCTTCGATAATCATCGAAAGAAGGACCATCTGGATACAGTAGTTTTACATACTGTTCTTTCAAACTTTTTCTTAAATATGTTGAAATATCCAAGTCTACCATTAAATAATATTCTAAAAGATACATAAAGAAATAAATTATTTAAAAAAAAATAAGCAAAAATTTCTCACCGTATAGAGACGAATCATCCCAACAAGTAAATGGGTTCTCCTGACATTGAGACAACATGTCTACGTTAGCTTGTTGTGGATGACTTTCTAAATGAGCTATAAAGTCCAGGAAAAGTTTTTTAATTTGAGGTCGAAGGAATGACTCTTCGGTACCTTTAATGTTATCTTCTGTAAATTCTTTTTTGTAATACCAAAAGAGATGAAAGAACTAAAAAAAATATACATTTGTTATAAAAAAAAATTATTAAGAATATATATTTAATACTAACATTTATTTCGCTTAATGGATGGAGATCGTTGATATGGCTCAATCTTTTACTTATTTTATCGAAGTTTGGCCTATAGTAGATGAAATGATTCTTCTTTAAAATTGATTTGAAACCTCCTAGGAATTGACCTCTTGTATAAAACAGTTCTTCTAGTATTGAAATTATAATTTTTAAGAAACTTTTAAAAGGAATTCTTAAAGATCCTACTGCATAATGCATTTAAAACAATGTTTCCAAGTTATTACATTTGTTACAGACCATTTTTTCTAAAATAGAACATTAAATATGCTAAAATATTTTAAATAACACAATTTTAATTTGGAAAATGACTATTATTTCCCATACCCCACTGGAGAAATATATTTTCATCAATTATATGAAACATAGAAAAAATACGTATATATTTATTAACGCAATTACAAAGGGCATGTCGTGTACCTAAAAACAAATCCATTATAATATTAGACATCCCTTACAATTTTGAAACAAAATTAAGACAATTACATTAGAAAAAGGTTTAATTAAATATGTAAAATGATAATTCATTAATAACTTGTATAAATATATGTAATTTAAAAATAAAATTCAATACTCACCCTTCTCGTAGTACAGCACGAAGATAAATGACTAGATATTTTATTTTACCGTCTACTTCGAATTGAAAGGTGTCAAATTAATCATAGATGTCGTTCAAACAATAGACTAATTATAGAATTTTTTAATGTTACTTACATACAAAAATATCTTTCTCTTTTTAACACGAAACAAGGAAAGAAATAAAAAACTCAATTCGTATTATACCAAATGAACAAATATTTGCAATGTTGCCAAAAATTATTGAGACGTTGCAAAAAAATTACTATGTTTTAAATAAAGAAAAGCAAACAATTATACGAACTAATATTAGTTAACTTAAGTATGTAAACTTTATTTAAATTCTAAAAAGGAAATTTTGAAAGGTTATTCAGAGGAGCGTTCTTTTTACTTTTTTTCAATTGAAAAAACTAATAATACAAACACACACACACACACAGACAAACACACACTCACACGCACATATGTTTTATTAAGCCCGAGTCGCGTAAAATCCCATCCTGTATATACTGGATCAAATTCTGCGAGACCCATTCCATCCACCCCCTTGCTCTTCCGCAAGGTCCTCAATAAAAAATCATCAGATTCGTATGCAATACTACTAAAAAAACATGTAGTATGACATACTATCATTCATTTAATCAGAGCGGCTGAAGGCCCGGCACTGATACCTCGTATGTGCGTGTGTATTTATGTTTGTGTAATTTTTACACCGTCATGCAAACAATTTTTCAATATCCACATTTCGGCTATTGAAAAATCGCTAATCCTTAAGTTTACTTAAAAATAAATATCATTACAAAATTTACATTTATGTAAAAGTCATCTAACTACAAAAAAAGGGAATTAAAAACATTAAAAACTATCCAAAACCGGATTTTTGTTAAATTGAAAGATTAAAATTAAACCTATAACAATTATATAGATAACTATACTTTTCAACCCTAACATAGGTATTTGTCGGAAAATTTAAAACAATTAAGATAATTAGTTACGCTTACTGAACACTGAACAATTACCGCGTAATTAAGCTATTAATAGATACTCAACAACACACCTAAATGCAGCCTTATTGTTAACATTTAACTACCTAAACTAAATACAAATAATAAAAATATTTAAATCTAAATTACAAAAAAGCCTTAAATATTTCAAATAAACTTATGAACTAACATTTATTTAGTGTTTTTTAAACACTTATAACCAGAATAGTGTGATTGCAGTGCAAGATGTGATTTACAATTTTTATTGCAATCCTTGCACCGAAATGACTTCTTCTTGGTCTTAGATTTAACTAATACTTCAGTTACAATGTTATTTAGAGCCTTATCTAGTGCATTAGTTACAATTTCATTTATAACTTCATCCATGACTTCATTTACTACAGCGTTATCTGTTTCATTTTCTCCTTCATCCATAACTACATTTACTATATCGTTCGCTCTTTCATTTTCTCCTTCATTCACATCATCATCAAATGATCCCGGATTATTCAAAAAAAGGTTAGGAGCCGAATTAACAGTTTCGCTTTCATATTTTCGAACAAACGAATAGTAATGATCAACCAATTCACCTTCTTTATTTAAATAAAAACCGGCATCTTTTGAATTGTCTTTCATATGTACGTAATATGCATATGCCACATGGTCAAAGTTTAAATACTTTAGATCGTGGGCATATAGCAGCATACGTATCCTTTCAGAAATCTTATTTCTATCATTCCTATCTTTAATTAAACTAATTTTACCTAATAAAGCTTTGAACTTATAAACATAATTCAAAACTTTTAAATGTACTAGAATATATAATAATAAATTTAAAAAGAATTCATATTTAGTATTACTGTGAAATTTATAATGATTTTGATATAAATCAAAAACATTATTACACTTACTACACTTCATGATTAATTAATAAAACAATCAATCAATAAGTAAGTATAAAATAATAAATTCACTAATAAAAATACGAAAATAAAATAATATTAATAAAAAGCTTACCAAAATAATCGATTGACTCACTCACTAACTATATTCACGACGTCGCTGGGGCATATGAACAAATATTTGCAATGTTGCCAAAAATTATTGAGACGTTGCAAAAAAATTACTATGTTTTAAATAAAGAAAAGCAAACAATTATACGAACTAATATTAGTTAACTTAAGTATGTAAACTTTATTTAATCCTTAAGTTTACTTAAAAATAAATATCATTACAAAATATACATTTATGTAAAAGTCATCTAACTACAAAAAAAGGGAATTAAAAACATTAAAAACTATCCAAAACCGGATTTTTGTTAAATTGAAAGATTAAAATTAAACCTATAACAATTATATAGATAACTATACTTTTCAACCCTAACATAGGTATTTGTCGGAAAATTTAAAACAATTAAGATAACTAGTTACGCTTACTGAACACTGAACAATTACCGCGTAATTAAGCTATTAATAGATACTCAACAACACACGTAAATGAAGCCTTATTGTTAACATTTAGCTACCTAAACTAAATACAAATAATAAAAATATTTAAATCTAAATTACAAAAAAGCCTTAAATATTTCAAATAAACTTATGAACTAACATTTATTTAGGTTTTTTTAAACACTTAGAACCAGAATAGTGTGATTGCAGTGCAAGATGTGATTTACAATTTTTATTGCAATCCTTGCACCGAAATGACTTCTTCTGGGTCTTAGATTTAACTAATACTTCAGTTACAATGTTATTTAGAGCCTTATCTAGTGCATTAGTTACAATTTCATTTATAACTTCATCCATGACTTCATTTACTACGGCGTTTGCCGTTTCATTTTCTCCTTCATCCATAACTACATTTACTATATCGTTCGCTCTTTCATTTTCTCCTTCATTCGCATCATCATCAAATGATCCCGGATTATTCAAAAAAAGGTTAGGAGCCGAATTAACAGTTTCGCTTTCATATTTTCGAACAAACGAATAATAATGATCATCCAATTCACCTTCTTTATTTAGATAAAAACCGATATCTTTTGAATTGTCTTTCATATGTACGTAATATGCGTATGCCACATGGTCAAAGTTTAAATACTTTAGATCGTGGGCATATAGCAGCATACGTATCCTTTCAGAAATCTTATTTCTATCATTCCTATCTTTAATTAAACTAATTTTACCTAATAAAGCTTTGAACTTATAAACATAATTCAAAACTTTTAAATGTACTAGAATATATAATAATAAACTTAAAAAGAATTCATATTTAGTATTACTGTGAAATTTATAATGATTTTGATATAAATCAAAAAAATTATTACACTTACTACACTTCATGATTAATTAATAAAACAATCAATCAATAAGTAAGTATAAAATAATAAATTCACTAATAAAAATACGAAAATAAAATAACATTAATAAAAAGCTTACCAAAATAATCGATTGACTCACTCACTAACTATATTCACGACGTCGCTGGGGCATATGAACAAATATTTGCAATGTTGCCAAAAATTATTGAGACGTTGCAAAAAAATTACTATGTTTTAAATAAAGAAAAACAAACAATTATACGAACTAATATTAGTTAACTTAAGTATGTAAACTTTATTTAAATTCTAAAAAGGAAATTTTGAAAGGTTATTCAGAGGAGCGTTCTTTTTACTTTTTTTCAATTGAAAAAACTAATAAAACAAACACACACACAAACACACACTCACACGCACATATGTTTTATTAAGCCCGAGTCGCGTAAAATCCCATCCTGTATATACTGGATCAAATTCTGCGAGACCCATTCCATCCACCCCCTTGCTCTTCCGCAAGGTCCTCAATAAAAAATCATCAGGTTCGTATGCAATACTACTAAAAAAACATGTAGTATGACATACTATCATTCATTTAATCAGAGCGGCTGAAGGCCCGGCACTGATACCTCGTATGTGCGTGTGTATTTATGTTTGTGTAATTTTTACACCGTCATGCAAGCAATTTTTCAATATCCACATTTCGGCTATTGAAAAATCGCTAATCCTTAAGTTTACTTAAAAATAAATATCATTACAAAATATACATTTATGTAAAAGTCATCTAACTACAAAAAAAGGGAATTAAAAACATTAAAAACTATCCAAAACCGGATTTTTGTTAAATTGAAAGATTAAAATTAAACCTATAACAATTATATAGATAACTATACTTTTCAACCCTAACATAGGTATTTGTCGGCAAATTTAAAACAATTAAGATAATTAGTTACGCTTACTGAACACTGAACAATTACCGCGTAATTAAGCTATTAATAGATACTCAACAACACACCTAAATGAAGCCTTATTGTTAACATTTAACTACCTAAACTAAATACAAATAATAAAAATATTTAAATCTAAATTACAAAAAAGCCTTAAATATTTCAAATAAACTTATGAACTAACATTTATTTAGTGTTTTTTAAACACTTAGAACCAGAATAGTGTGATTGCAGTGCAAGATGTGATTTACAATTTTTATTGCAATCCTTGCACCGAAATGACTTCTTCTTGGTCTTAGATTTAACTAATACTTCAGTTACAATGTTATTTAGAGCCTTATCTAGTGCATTAGTTACAATTTCATTTATAACTTCATCCATGACTTCATTTACTACAGCGTTTGCTGTTTAATTTTCTCCTTCATCCATAACTACATTTACTATATCGTTCGCTCTTTCATTTTCTCCTTCATTCACATCATCATCAAATGATCCCGGATTATTCAAAAAAAGGTTAGGAGCCGAATTAACAGTTTCGCTTTCATATTTTCGAACAAACGAATAGTAATGATCATCCAATTCGCCTTCTTTATTTAAATAAAAACCGGCATCTTTTGAATTGTCTTTCATATGTACGTAATATGCATATGCCACATGGTCAAAGTTTAAATACTTTAGATCGTGGGCATATAGCAGCATACGTATCCTTTCAGAAATCTTATTTCTATCATTCCTATCTTTAATTAAACTAATTTTACCTAATAAAGCTTTGAACTTATAAACATAATTCAAAACTTTTAAATGTACTAGAATATATAATAATAAATTAAAAAGAATTCATATTTAGTATTACTGTGAAATTTATAATGATTTTGATATAAATCAGAAACATTATTACACTTACTACACTTCATGATTAATTAATAAAACAATCAATCAATAAGTAAGTATAAAATAATAAATGCACTAATAAAAATACGAAAATAAAATAATATTAATAAAAAGCTTACCAAAATAATCGATTGACTCACTCATTAACTATATTCACGACGTCGCTGGGGCACTGTTGAACAGTAATTAACTTTAACCCCCTTCGGTCCCCCTTTTATATCATCGAAAAGCGCTCTGATTGGTTCATTTTACCCTCCAAAAACTAAGTACCCGCCAAAATTAACCGCGAAAATTTTAATTTTCCCTCCCGAAAACTAAATTCCCGCAAAAATTATTTAATTTGGAATATTTCAAAACTTTTAAAGCTTAGAAGATAGGAATTTTTTCATCGACCATAGAAATTAATTGGAAAGGATGGGAAATAAATAAATAAAACTAAGGAAATAAAAAAAGTTGAGTTTTAATAATAGTTTTTTATCTATTTAATCATTACATTTAACATTATAGTTTTTTCATATACATTTTTAAATGATTAATTATATAAAAGTTTTTAATTTTTGTTTATAAATAGTAATATAATTATAGTTTAAATATCTTTCTTAAAATTTATTTCATTCTATGTTTATACTCTTATCTTTAAGACGAATATTTAAGAGGATTTAAATTTATGGCGTGATTCGAGTGGAATTCGTTCTAGGAACCTTGGATTTACCCATTTACCTATATATTCAAAAAAAATATTATCCCAAAATACTTCGAAAAGCTCTACAGGTGATTTTATTTCACTCGGCTCATCGTTTTCTGAATCAATATCATGTGGTTGAGATGGAAGATCGCCTATTATCCAAGTATCAATAAATTGTTTTATATTTCCATTTTTTTTAATCAATCATTTGGCTTTTAAAGCATTTGTAACCGGAACATCTTCTTCCCCATCGCTACTAATGTACGATTGCATAGTTGATCTTTTTGTTCGTTTCATAATATTATTTTTTTCCGATATTCCTTCTTCGTCGCTACTTGTCAATCCAAATGCCAAAAATTTTCTATTGTTTGAACTCGTTTCAATTTCTTCATTCAAATCATCTTCCGATTCTTCGTCACCTCCAAAAAGAGAAGCTTCTGCTGGCGCGTCCAGAATTTTTCTCGACAATTTATCAGCAAATTCTCCATTTGTTTCTGAATCTGAGTTGTCTGAGTCGCCATCAGAGAAGTTTTCAGGGGGACTTATGTAGATATTAGCCTTTTCAAATTTCTTGTCGGCTAATTTGACAATTAAATGATTTAGGCTATTCGCCGATACAGAACTTTTCGACCCATAAAATGTTTTCACGTCCATTTTTCTAAAAGTGAAAAAAAGAACATGTGAATGGCCAAGTTCCATAAAAGGAACATGATAAATTTTACATTTGTTGAACAAACTAACTACAAAATTTAATTTTATTGCAGAAAATTACGTTCACTTAGTCCAGTTTATTACAATTTTACTAATATATACTAAAATACTACTTACGCTTGCTACCAGATTGAAGACAAAATAACAGTTATTCGAAATATAGGATAATATGAAAATAAAATTCATCAAAACTCGTAAACGAATACAAATGTCATCTAACTATCAAATATCTAGTTGGTTAGGCCACCATAAATACATTTAAAGTGTATTAATTTGCACATCAAGCGATATCTGTTGGTGGGAGGAAAAAGTAACGTGCGTTCCATTTTTGGAACTTGGCTGCGAATGGGTTAAATAATGACGGATCCCTATATTTGGAAAATTTAATAAATAAATGCTAAAGTTGAAAATTATTTAGATATTGACGGATTCCTATAATCGAGAAATTTAATAAAAAATAAATTATTAAAGTTGAAAATTATTTAAATATTGACGGATCCCTATATTCGGAAAATTTAATAAATAAATTATTAAGGTTGAAAATTATTTAACTATTGACGGATCTCTATATTCGGAAAATTTAATAAATAAATTATTAAAGTTGAAAATTATTTAAATATTGACGGATCCCTATATTCGGGAAATTTAATAAATAAATTATTAAAGTTGAAAATTATTTAAATATTGATGGATCCCTATATTCGAGAAATTTAATAAAAATAAATTAATATTATTGAAAATTATTTAAACATATAGAAATCTTTACGGTTTATTAGCTCAGGAGGCTAATCGGACTGGGAATCGTGAAATGCCCAGTATGCGGAAAATGTATGAAAATAAACTATTATTATTATTAAAAATAATTTAAATATGACGGTAATCAAATGCAAACAAATAAAAAGTGAACTCAAAATTGTCGGAGACCCCTTGTATCTTAATACCCAAGCGATGGAAACGCGAAATTCTCGCCTATTGATAAATAAGGTTTATTTACACGGTGTTTTGGACGGTGACCACGACGGTCGTAGAAAATAATATTTTTGAATTTTGCCCAGAATCTAACGAGAGCGTATGTGTGAATTTAATTTTACAGAAGCCGTCTGACTTCATTCAATAACTAATCGTGGAGAGGAGAAACGGAATGATTCAAATACAGCTGAATAAAAAAATATTAAAAGGAAAGAAATTTTACACGAAGTGAGGCGCGGAAATTAATTTAAACGTTGTTTTTTTCTTTTTGGAACCTACGAAAAAAAAAAGAAAATAAAACAATAAATAATAAAAAAAAATTAAACAGGTCGAACCTCTCACTTCGATGTTAACTGGGCGGCTTTTAAAAGAAATTGGATGTAGTCATTGACAGAGAGCGCTCGGAGTCTTGTCTATATCCAACCTCAAATAAAAAATTGCCAACGGCTTCCCACTGAGGGATGAAATAATAAATCCTGGGTATGAATCAAAATTCTTGATTTGTCACACGGGTGTCCCAACTAATTATATGAAAGCCAATATAAAAAAATAATATACGGTTCCTACCTTAACAAATCCAACTGGTTAACCAATTACTTATTTAAGATCACGGCACTACACGGCGTCGTCACTATAAATTATCGAAAGATCAGTACTTCTCGGGTGTCGGGAGTCAAGAGACGGCATTTTTAGCTTTCCATCAATGTATGCTTTTTCGGTAAAGAAAGATGGAAGACTAGTACGACAAAGTGGGGATACCACTACTAAAATCGGCTGTTTACAATTTAAAGATAAAAAATGTCGTTATAGTCCTTGACAAATAAAAGGTAGATAATCCATACGAAATCGACTCTAAAAATACCTATTCGGATTTCGGCAAATATAAGAATATTTTAATCTACGAGGGTACTCGCAATTGTTGAAAAACGGTAATTACTCGGAAACAGAAATACGGGGGAACTTCTACATGTTCTCAGGTGGGAATTAATTTAAATATACATTTTTAAGACGAATTAAAAATAAAATATAGTGACTTCATCACATCGCCCTCTCTCGGTTAAAGAAAATAAAGGCGAAACTTCGTTTTGGCTTTATTTTCCTACACTCGTAATTCCTCACTTGTTAGCTGACAGGGCAGTTAAAAACCAATCGTAATGGCGGAGTCTGGACTGCAACGGTACGTCGTGACGGTGGCTTTACTTAGTGAAACGGTCCTGGAACATAACGATGTAGGCGTTATTACCCTTTTTACTTCGGGGTAACGGTCCGACGAGGTAGGTGCTAACAACTTCCCAGGGTGCCCGGTTTGGGGAGCGTTGCATCTTCCCCGGTGTTTGCTGTTGCGACAGCTTGTACCTCTGACACTGTAGGCAACTACGGACATACTTTGTTATGTCTCTAAACATTCCTGGCCAATAATATTGTTGCGCGATGCGGGATATGGTCTTGGCAATTCCCGAATGGCCAGCGGTAGGGGCATCGTAATTCTCCTCTAGCACCCTGATCCGCTGCGGAGTCGGTACACACAGTTTCCACGGATCGGAAAGGTCGGGTTCCTTGTAGTCATTAATGTCCCAGAAATGACGGAATAATCGGTCCTCTCTTTGGTCTTTAATAAAAAAATATATGACATTTTTTGTTTACTTTTTTTTTGAGAAGTGCCCCCAAGTAACTCGGCAGGCCTCTGAATTACTTGTATTTTAATATTTATATAAATGCCGGGTGTTCTTGCTGTTTATGCATTAAAGGTTTGAAATAAAATGTAAAAGTAAGTATAATTTAATTAGTATATTAAAATAATTAGTCCTTCCGGGTTGCCATTATTCCTTCAAATAAACATTTTACTATTTTTTGTTCTGTTTGTAATTTTATGGATTCATCTGAAATTTGTCGTATTTTAGAAGGCACAAAATTTCCAAATATTTCAGACTCGTCCTTTTCTTGTTCCTTCTTTTCCTTCTCTTGTCCTATATGTGACGATATATTCTTCATTGCATTTGCTGTCTTCTTTAAGTATCTAGAATCTTCGTCTTTTTTTTTTCTTCTTCTAGATCCGCTAGTTTCATTATTTTGGAAAGTTGGTTTCACCTGAGCATTGCTTACAATAGTGGAAGAGCTCTGAGGCCTTTCGCTATCACTAGAAGAAATATTTGGCCTTATATTTTCAATGCTTTCTCCTTCTTCTAATTCAATTTCTTCCTCAAACAGTTCTCCATCATCCATAACTGTATATATTTGAGACACATCATTCTCATCCCTACTTACTTCATCAAGTATATCTTCACGTAATGAATCCAAAGCTTTTCAAGATACCATGTGATCAAGTACAAATAGCATAGCCCTATAATAACAGAGTGTTGGCTCATACAACTGAAAATATATTTTATAATATTTAAATATTGCTTAGGGCCGATTCGACCGTTGTGTTAAACGAAGTTTAAATTACTAAGCGAAGATTAAAATGACATTGTTAATGTAAAAATGTCAATTTAATCCTGGTTTATTTCTTAACTACTAGCGGTGGAATTGGGCCTTATTTAGCATTAAACTATGTTTACTATCAGGAGATAATCTCGATACCTATAGAAATAAATTTTAGTTTATGTTACTATTAAAAAAATATTTTATATTTGTTAAAGTATATTTTATAATGAGCAAGAAGCTTTGTTTAAAGCGACATTTTCTAGCCGAGGGTTAAAATTATACCCATTTTATAATTAAGATCATCCACAGATTATGAGTAAATATATCATGATTGGTTGTTTACCTCGTCTGTTCCGGATCGACTAAATTTTGACTTTTGCATCTTCCGATATTCCTGAAGAACATTTGTTTTTAAGTTCTTAAACTTTGCTTTAATTTCAGGTATTGTAACATCTTTCATGTGTGTTAGTGCATTTTTTATTGATTCAAGAGCTCCTGTTCTTGCGTGTTTATTTTTGTATTGCGTTTCTTTTACTTGATACAAGCAAGGGTATTTCTGGTACTCCTCAGTCAGGATTGACACTTCTTGCCTAGTCCAAGATATTTCAATTCCGGAAGGAAGAACTCGCAAACTTAAAAGTATCTACAATTTAAATGAAATTATTAATTCACAAAAAAGGGTAGGATTAGTCAAAGAGAAATTAAGTAATAAAAATTTATAAAAATAATAAAATACTTACAACTTTACAGGATAAATGCCTAGTATTACTAAAAAATGTATAAACCCATGGTGGCAAAATACAGGTGAAGCGGTAAGTGGTACGAAATTCGGTCAGTCTTGCGCATGACGTCACTTTTGAAGAATATTTTTATTTTGCCTATGATTTGAATGTTAAAAAGCGAGTTTTTATGTTACTTTAATATTTTTCTGATAGTGCTTAGAACGTTATAGATGTATTTATCTTAAAAGTTAATATTATTTCTATACATCAAGATGTCTTTTTAGTAATAATTGAATCGGTGAGTGAAAGAATAATATATATCCAAAAGGACCATTTTAAGAAAAACAAAAAAAAACTGTTTTAATGGAAAACTATGGATTATTCGGCCTAATTGTGTATTGTGAAGTTATAGAATTTTTGTCAACCGATAATAATACGTACATAAATTTAAAAAGAAAATTATGCAAAAAATGATATTTGAAAAAATGACTTGCAGTTGTACTGTTCTTTAACTCAATTTAAAACAAAAAGCTTTATTCATTATTATTTAACAAACTGATTTGTAATTTTTATTCAGAATCTTCATTTTTGACTTTCCAAGAAATAATATGGTAGTAAAACTCTAGGATTTCATCACTAAAGTAGGATAAAAGTGTCTTTAAATTGACTATATTCTTTACTTTAATAGGGACAACTTCTGAGTATGCTTTTTCTAATGGCGGACATACACGCAACGGTCTACCGGATAGGTCTACGTGAGCAGGCGTGCCTGCGCAGGTCGGCTTCATGTCGTAGCGTGTGTGGAACGATTCGGTATGCCGGAAACAGGAGAGCTCATCAGTTCGTTTTGCCATGGCGTCGATTGAAGAAGACTATGCACTGGCATTAGTAGGCCTTGCGTTAATTTGGAAAAATGATACAAAAATAGAACATAAAAAAAAAGCGAACAAAGTGGTGTCAAAATTAGGTATTAAAAAGGAAAACTAGTCATGGTAACTTAAAGAACGAGTTAAAATTGAACCTATAGATTTTAAGAATTATCTCCGAATGGTCAAGAAAATATACCTAAAATTACTTGCAATGGTTACTCCTATGATAATAAAAAAAGATACAGTATCAGAAATGGTATTTCTGAAGGAACGGTATTTCTGGAGAGACGGTATTTCTGGAGAAATGGTATTTCTGGAGAAATGGTATTTCTGGACAAATGGTATTTCTGGAGAAACGGTATTTCTCCGCAACTGGCAGACGTTATGAGGGCCAACATGTCAGCAATTATTTCATCTGAAGCACTGAGTTCTATATATTTCTATAACATTTTCAAGAACTTTTCTAGTTGAATCTGATGGCGCCATGTTTTATCAACTAGTGTGATCTGTGCAGGCGATCGGAAGATACATACACTCAGAGGTTCACCGTACGATGTAACTGAAAAAAATTGAATTTCGATTTTGCTCCGGTCGCCTGTGCAGGTTCAAAACACTGCACAGGTCGATTTCAATACACGCTCCGGTCTACCTGTGCAGGCACACCTGCACAGGCAGACCGTAGCGTATATGCCCGCCATAAGGGTAACTGCGTATTGGTATTAGGTTTGATCAGTCTAAAAGTGTGCGAGAGGAAACCACCTAAGAAGGCACTTGTGGTAACGTATCCAAGAGTTTCACTAATGTATATAAACTGGCTGTACTGCGAAATGACAAAATTAGCTTTTTTTTCATCAGCTAATTTGGAGGATTTTTATGAAATTGCGACCACCAGTTTTTGAAATCTGTATCAAATTTGTCTACGAAACGACATGGCGACTAAGTGAAAAAACAGTACATGCGCCGCACGTGTCCTGTTCTTTCACTCAGCCGAAAATTGAATAAGCCCCCATCGCTCGTAGGATGTTGGTCGGTGTATTATTCTTTCGCTATGTGATAGGCCTATGAATTTTAAACTATTTGCCTATCTCAGTTAATATTACCATTTTTGGCACTTGTATTATTCTTTCACTCACTGATTCAATTATTGGTAGGTATTATTTAATTAATTTCTAATTAAATTGATAGTGTAATTGATATAAAGTTAGGTTATATCATATTTTTGCTGTATTTTAAAGATAAAAAAAATAATTTCTAATTATATTATTATTATAATATTATTGTTACCCACATTAAAATCTACTATTTTAGGAAGTGTAGTTACTAGCCAAGTTGTGCAGTGTATGGCTACAAGACCTATTTGCGAAAAACAAAGGGAACAAACATTAAGTATTTTGGTTTCCGAAAACACACGTATTTAAAGCATAGATCAATGCTTGGAAAGATACAAATAACCTGAAGAATGGTACGGTTTTTGCCAGGGTAGCCAGTTCCCCTGTAAATAGTTGGTAGCAAGTTTGTTTGACCTCGACAGTGGCGCGCTGAGCGCGTTATGATGAACTATAATTCGGTACAGTCGGTAAAGTAGAAAACTACTAAGTAAAGCGATTTAAAAAATGGCGGGCTTCAAAATTTATGAAATTTGAAGTAATTTCAAGGAACATTTTCCTATTTTACAGCTTTTACTTACAATAATTGAAACAATCAATAAGTAAAATTAATTTTTATTGTAAGTAAATGCTGAAAAACGGAAAATGTCACTTGTTTTAAATGAAAAATAAAAACATTTGTAATAAGTTTATTTTATTTGGAATAGGTAACTATGTCATTACATTATATTAAACATCATATTCACAATAAACACAAAATTAATGCAGAATAAAAATGTAGGATAACAATTATTTTATTAACAATAAACTGGATACAATTTTCAAAAAACACAACGAACATTTTCAAATAATTAAAAACAACACAAAAAACACATACCTATAAATACCACAATTGTTTTAAATATCTCTAATAATAATAACTTATTAATACACAACAGATAGGTAATTTTTCAGTGAATACATATAAAATAGTTTATATTTGCCATTAATTTGATATAAAAATGTAACATCTTCATTTAAATTTGAAACAATTTAAAATTTAACATCAAATCATAATACCTATATTATCTGTTTTTAAATTAAAAAACAGGGCTAATACTGAAATGTAGGTATTAATTTACCTGATTAAGTAAATCAATTTTCCCTGAACAATTTAATTTTTGTTTTTAGTAATTGCTAACTAGGCATAATGTATTTTATATGTGAAATTTAAATATTGTGATGTCTGATTTACAAAAATTTCAAATTATTCAGTCTAAATCTCTGTCAACTAAATTTTAATGATCGGCTTAGTCAAGTAATTTGTTTTTCAGCCGTCCAACGCCTCCTTTTTATTTAAACAACAAACAACAACAAAACTTAATATAACACTCTAAAAAACTATATCTTAATTCAATTAGTACGAACCCTGTTAAAAATATTGTTAATACCTAGTATCACAGAACAGTAAAAAGATATTTTTAAACAATTTAAAACTTAGAACTAATATCTATAACTTTGAAAGTTTTATATAATACCTAATATCACACTGAAAAACTTAAAGAAAAACGAGAAGTTAAATTTACTTATTGTAATAATAATATTAATAATGTTTATTCGTCCTGTTAAGCATTATAAAAAAGTATAAGATAAGTCTGGTTTACTCAGTCTAAAATTTACAATTAAAAATTACTTTAAATAATAGGGATAAGGTTAGTAATAAAAAATGACAAACAGTAGCAAGACATAAACATTTAAGTAGTTTTTTCTTACATATATTTAGCAACAGTGTTGTAACATCTACTTTTTAATTGCATTTTTAAATTGAAAATTGTTCAAGGGATTGAAGTAAATTTAAAAATATACGTTTACACTAATCACGATTATTATTGTTATTAATATTATTATTATTATTATTTTATATCTATAAAATTACCTAATATCACAAAATTACACATTATCACAAAAAGTAAACATTAAAATTTTTAATATTCTTAAGCTCTATTGGGTGTTCCAGTGCCAGAGTTGCTAAAAAATAATTAATTGAGTAAGTTGAGATCAAAGTTTGAGAAAAATTTAAAAATAGTCACTTGTCAAATAAGTATTTAATTTTGTCATAATTTTAAGGAATAGGTAACTTTGGCATGTATAGAAATTATTTTAAAACAATAAACAAAGACCAGTTGTTTTGAAATTTTGTTGGTTAGGCAACTCTGGCACTAAACCACTTTACTATCCCTTTACCCATCTATTTCGGTTCATTGTAGTTGCAATATCCATTCCAAAAATCTCCATACTCAGGAATAACTAAAACAAAAAAAAATAAAGGCGCTGTGTGTATCTTAAAATTAAAAATTAACAGAGATATTACTTTTTTAAATTCTTAGAAATATCCTTATAATATTTTCTTATAATAAAAGGTACAGTGATTTTCAATAATTTCAAAAAAACATCTGATTTATGCTCTCGGCAAGTGAACCATGCAAAATTAACATGTTCGTGTAAATATAAAATTAGTTTTTGAACAATGCGTTCTATATGTCCATATTTGGGTACTACTTTATCATTTACTACATCTAAAGTAAACTGTTCTGCGAGTTTAATCTCATCAAATAATAAAACACAGTTACGGTCAATTTGATTCATTTTGGCAACCCTTTTCTTAAGACGATCAAAAATTTCTACATTAATTCCAGTATGAAATGGAACAGATTTTAAAAGTGAGTGAATGGTTGTTTTACTAGGTAAAGCAATACACCGTCTTAAAAAATTATACGCACGAGGGCCTCTCTTATATAAAGCTAATGAAAATACTTTATCTTGAGTTGTCTATGTACGTTTAACTTTCTTAGAGTTAGTGACACTACTTTCTAAAAATTTCATCCCGGCTGGATCTTAATTTTATTTTTAGATTTTAATAAACTATTTTTTAATCTTGAAATTTTGTTTCGCTGCTCTTGAATAATATAATAAAATTTTCTCTTTCTAGGAGTTAAATTACCAACTCTAGTTGCATTAATTTGATTTAAAATACCAGTTCTTACACGTGGTTTCTTTATTAAAGGTTCCTCAACACATTCAAATCTATCATTAAAAAATTCTAGCTTTCTTTTAGCTGAAGTTATATTCGAAACAGAAGGTTTAATCAAAACATTACTAATTACATTTATTTTTGCAAGCGAATTTGATGAAGGCAGCTCTGAAAAATTTTCATCTAATGTAATATTATTATTAGTAGTAATATTCTCTTCTAAAGGCGCTAAAGGCAAGGCAAATTTAATGAGCTTAGTACGCAAAGTGCTGGAAAAGGCATTCTCGTCAAAATGATCCTCGCACAATAGTTTTTTTTTTTAGATGTGTAGGGAATATTTAAAATATCAAACCATTTCTCTCTAAGGGTAATAATGGACGGAAAAGTAAAAAATTTCTTATTAAGTAAATGTAAATAATATTTGCTTCTGCAATTTGGAGCAGCACATGATAATGCAAATTTATTATAAGTTAATGACATTGTTAAGGACCTCAGTATATTTTTACACCTATAAATTACTTAAATCTAACTAAAACTAAATTAAAAATAAGATTAATTAAATTTTACTCACCTACATTTTCCGCGACTGTCATGTTTTAGTGTAACATAACCTAATTTATTAGCAAAGCCAGATTTACACCACCTCATAATATTCAAATGTAGCTTTAACTTTATAAATTTATAACAATTATTCCTGTATTTGATCATTATATTGTATTAAAGTGATATTTAAAAGATTGCATTAGTAAAATTATTGATTTCTTTAAAATTTATTCATTTTTTAATTATTATATGGGTGTAGAAACGGCTTTTATTTAGTGCTCGCAGCGCGTGAAGCGCGATATGATAAACTACAAACAAGGAAACAATTCCCGCCTATTATTCAAACCTTCCCATTTTAGTTTTTCTATGGTTTTTGCAAAACTAAATTGAATTATAATAATTTTTGTATGTTTTGTTTATCTTTTAAGCTTGTATTTTTCTACACATTTTTCAAAGGATAGTTTTCAAAATATCCTTACAACAGAGGCTGTTAAACTGCTCACCTAAAACTGGCAGAAATTTAAAACTAACAGCAGTTTCTACTGGCAATCTCAGAGTTAAAAAAAGTACAACAATTGTCTGCAGAGTGTGACGATAAATTAATATGGCAGACAAAAAGATATAACCAAAAATACACCAAATCAATTATAGATTTGCACCTGCAGGAGTGTAACAGAAAAATTTGTCACTGTTAGAACTCGAGCCAAATAAATATAGATTTTAAAGTGTCAAGCAAGATAAAAAAGTAAACCTTATGTATCAACAATTTATAAACATTATTAAACGTGAATAAACCAATTCCAAATAAACACCTCTGTGCTTTATATTAAAATAAAATGTGTTATACCAAGTGTTTCTATTTATTAAATACATAAATATATTTATCAGCACACAACTGTAACTACTATTCAGACCCTTCAAGCTGATTATTTAATAAAATCCATAACTAAAAAAATATCCTGTTAAATTTATTTCATTTTTATTTTATGGTCCTGTCTTTGTTAACATTTTACGAAATTTTATTTATATAAGGGACATTTATTTAGTTCTTTCGGTAATTGAATCACATATTTCATTTTCACAACATTTAAATCTACTTATTTGTACCTCTAGGCCTTCTATCTATTCCAATTTTTATCGAGACAGACATTAAAACTTTATAATGGTGATGTCCATGAAAGATTAGGTTCTAGACGTTTTGGCTATTCATCTTGATCTCAATCTATCAGATAGTGATGCTAGGTATGAAGATTTAAATCCTAGACGTACCTAACATCTTCTTCATGTTTTGTAGTGGAAGAAATCAGTTTCAGATAAATAATATATCTTGTTTATCCTCAAGAAAAATGCATATCATCTGATTAAGCTAAATGATCACAAAATAAGTTTTATTTTAAATTTCTTTGCACAAGAGTCCAATACCTGCCTATAGTGAGTTTCTTGGCATTTTATTGTATTACTGAGCATAACTTAATGTGATTTATCAGTTGTTATTTTTATCTAAATATATATTTTCAGTTTTACAATGATTATAGAACTAGGAAATAAAATAGTAACATCTTGACAATCATTACAAAATGTAAACAAAGCCATGGCAGTTTGTAGGCGGCCGTGACAATACCGATGTTGACGTCATAAAACCTGCGCACCGCTTCACCTATATTCTTACACCATATCTCAACCTATATATAAAACAACTAAAGGCAGCAATGCTGTTAGAAACCACAAGAAAACACGAAAAAATCCACGATAAAACCAACAAATTCAAATGCAAGGCCAAATGTCGCTAACGCTAAAACTCCGTTTGGTATATATTCTTCTATATTTTTAAAAAAATTGGAATTTTCAAACACCTAACAGTAATATGAATGGAAAATTATATTACTTACATACTGTTACACTTTTTCATAAGGCTGCAGCTGTATCTGTCATTAAAAATTATTTTAAAAGCTACATATATTATTCAAAATTTTGCAGAACAAGTCTGACATGTATAAAACATTTTGTTGAATATGATATCAAAAATAATATCTACATTTTTCAATTAAGCAGAGGTATTTGACAGATTTGAACACTTGTATAGTTACTCTGAAATCGTGAACTGAATCTGGAAGACCAGCAAATATATATGTGAACAATTTGTTGGTACCACATATTCTCATAATATTTATTGACTGACTTCGATATCGATCTGTACAACTGGCGTGCTACTGTTGTTCTACTTTTTTGAAAACATGCGTCCCATCAATAACTCCTACAACTCCTAGTAACATAAAATCGATAACTTGGAGTGAGTTACTCGAAAAGGAGCCACAAAATAACCATGAACACTTTTTAATGTTTTTTTTTATCGAATATATTGTATTTTGGGTTAGTAATTATTATTATACATGCAGCACTCCAAAATTTTCCAAGACAGACTTTAATTTTGAAGTTTGGCGTTTGGTTTCTTTTTGACTTAAATAAAAAAGCAAGTTGGTTTCTTAAAAAAAAATTTTTTTTGTTTTTTTTTTATTAAAATTAACAAATTTTCATAGAAATTTAAAAGCAAATACACTCTCGATCTGAATCATTCATCGGCTTCTTCGATCTGGAAGTCAGTTTCCTCGTCTTCGAAATTTTTGTGATTCAGATTTTTATAAAAATACTGAACATCTTTAGGAATTAGAGGCATAAGGCTTTTGATATCGGCGAATTTCATTTCGGAAATGAGCTTCCCGTCTGGATATAGAACAGATAGATTGGATGCAAACTTAGGCTGCGAGGATCTGGTAGATTTTTTAAGTCTACTTTTTGATAATCTTCTCCGTTATATGTTGTCTTAAAATATATTGAGAATGGCTTATCTTTAGTTATTTTAATTACTCTTGCCTTCAACCAGCTTACTTTTTGTTCATTAACATCAGTTTTTCTATTAGTGATCATTTTTTCAATCTGTTTAGTGCATAAAAACTCTTCTTTTTCCATCTCATAAACTATAAATTTACGTCTTTTTAAGCACTTCACCATGACATCTTTAAACTCTTGGAGTGTGTAGATTCGAATTTGGCGTTTTAGTGCTCTCTTGATCTCTCCAAAATTTAAATCGTTTGGCATTTAATGAAATGTGTTTTTCTAAAATGGTTTTTAAAATCAGAACAATTTTTATGATCCGATTCTATCCTCCACATGAATACGACCATAAAATCAGATCTTCTGTTTCGGGCGTAACATACTTCTTAATAATCACATTTAAACATGATACAACCTCTTGGGCTCCTCTACCTGCTGTATTTTCTTTCCATACAAAATATGGTTGTCTATCTGAACCTTTGTAAACTCCTTCGTTGTGTATAGAAAGCTGTTTTTTGTAGTAGACTATATTGGTCGGAATTTTTGAAAGTCCTAATACTTTTTCCATGTCGTAGTTAACTTTATTATTTTCAGTTGCTAATAACAAATCTTGTTTCTTGTTTCTTCTTCTTTTAAATGATTATGTAACGATTTTTTTTCTGCTAGTAACATCGGTTCATTTTGACAACTTTTGATTTTTGCTGGTAACTTATCATAAATATTGCAGCTGCCCTTAATCTCTGACTTCATTCGAAGATTACAATTTTTGTAAAATGTTTTTCTATACGTACAAAAAGCAACTTTAGGGTTTTGATCTTCTAAATAGAGGGAGTACATTTTACTTAAAGTTAAATTAGTGGGTAAAAATTTGGAATTAGTTTTGTTACGACAGTAATGCGAAACATGTGTGGGAAATGAAGAAATGTGCCTAATTATTTTTTAGTTTCATCCGGTAGTGCTTTACGTGCGTGAAGTTGGCCCTACCATGTTATGATAATTACACCAAAGTTGTACCAATATTTTGCAACTAATTTGCAACTTTACGCAACCGGTATAAAAAAATTTGCAACCTTACATTTTAGTTCTAATCGCTAAAACAAAATTGGTGGGGCCAAATTCACGCAGCCCCACCACATCATCGTATTGACCTCGAACCTTTTTCATAATTTAGCAACTAATTTGCAACTTTAGGCAACCGGTATAAAAAAATTTGCAACCTTACATTTTTGTTCTAATCGCTAAAACAAAATTGGTGGGCCCAAATTCACGCAGCCCCACCACATCCTCGTATTGACCTCGAACCTTTTTCATAATTTAGCAACTAATTTGCAACTTTAGGCAACCTTCGTAAAAAAATTTGCAACCTCGTGGTTACGCCAGAAACGAATTTCTAAGTTGGTGGGGCCAAATTCACGCGGCCCTACCACATCGTCGTAGTGACCTCAAATTTTTTTCATAATTTAGCAACTAATTTGCAACTTTAGGCAACCTTTGTGAAAAAATTTGCAACCTCGTGGTTACGCCGGAAGCGAATTGCTAAGTTGTTGGGGCTTAATTCACGCGGCCCCGTCACATCGTCGTATTGCCCTCGAACCTTTTTCATAATTTAGCAACTAATTTGCAACTTTAGGCAACCAGTATAAAAAAATTTGCAATCTTACATTTTTGTTCTAATCGTTAAAACAAAATTGGTGGGGCCGCCAAATTCACGCAGCCCCACCACATCGTCGTATTGACGTCGAACCTTTTTCATAATTTAGCAACTAATTTGCAACTTTAGGCAACCTTCGTGAAAAAATTTGCAACCTCGTGGTTACGCCAGAAACAAATTCCTAAGTTGGTGGGGCCAAATTCACGCGGCCCTACCACATCGTCGTAGTGACCTCAAATTTTTTTCAAAATTTAGTAACTAATTTGCAACTTTAGGCAACCTTTGTGAAAAAATTTGCAACCTCGTGGTTACGCCGGAAGCAAATCCCTAAGTTGTTGGGGCTTAATTCACGCGGCCCCGTCACATCGTCGTGTTGCCCTCGAACCTTTTTCATAATTTAGCAACTAATTTGCAACTTTAGGCAACCGGTATAAAAAAATTTGCAACCTTACATTTTTGTTCTAATCGCTGAAACAAAATTGGTGGGGCCAAATTCACGCAGCCCCACCACATCGTCGTATTGACCTCGAACATTTTTCATAATTTAGCAACTAATTTGCAACTTTAGGCAAAGTTGCAAATTAGTTGCTAAATTATGAAAAAGGTTCGAGGTCAATACGACGATGTGGTGGGGCTGCGTGAATTTGGCCCCATCAACCTAAGGAGTCGTTTCCGGCGTAACCACGAGGTTGCAAATTTTTTCAAGAAGGTTGCCTAAAGTTGAAAATTAGTTGCTAAATTATGAAAAAGGTTCGAGGTCAATACGACGATGTGGTGGGGCTGCGTGAATTTGGCCCCACCAATTTTGTTTTAGCGATTAGAACTAAAATGTAAGGTTGCAATTTTTTTTATACCGGTTGCCTAAAGTTGCAAATTAGTTGCAAAATATTGGTACAACTTTGGTGTAATTATCATAACATGGTAGGGCCAACTTCACGCACGTTAGTGCTTTATTTAAATTACCGATGGTTCCTCTTGCATCTTTTATATTAGTAGACTTAAATTTCTTTAGTGCAGTATCAACACGTTTGGTGGATATTTCTGTACGAACATATTCCTGCAAATTATAATGTTGTTTAATGTATAGATTCGCGTAAATTGTCTGGTCTCGCTCGATTTATTTCTTTTTGTCTTAATACCTAGCTGTTTTTCTGAAGCAGCTATAAAATTATTTTGACTCTCGCAGTTTCTTAAGGCCGAAAATTCATCTAAGAGTTTCTTACGTATATCACCCGGTATTTTATCTGAGCATTTGAGCGAGCACTTACAGTCAAAATCACCAAAAGTTTTTGCTTCGACCCGCTTACCTTTTACAGTATAATGTGCTTGATTAGAGTTTTTTAATGATTTTCTACATTTAAAAGTTCGACCTGGATTCATTTTTTTCCCTTATAGTATAGACACAATTTAGAAATAGTACCTACATTATAAGGATTGAAAGTGTAAAATTGTGAGTAAAAAAATCACTTTTAGTCCATATGATATATACTATTTTTTCTCCAACCAAATCAAAATTAATTTATTTATTCAAAAATCGTTTATAATTGGATACTAAATTTGAATATTATAACAGCGATGGAAGGAAAATATTGTCAAGTGGACATACCTACATTTACAATCAAGAGTATAATTTGTTTAGTAGTTTTAAAAGAATTCTGAACTAGATGTAAACATACTGTTAGAAAAAAGAAAAGGAAAAACTCGCCTTAGTTGCCCTTCTAACAAAAATAGGAAAACAAATGTGGTGGTTTTACTAATATGGTTTTTATTAGTTTGAACATCAACATAAATGGTGCTAGCTCAAAATTAGTTCATCAATAATCGGTAGAGTGGAGGTGAGTATGATAAATATATATACAACAATTTTAAATATATATATAAGACAGTTATTTGAATTATTAGTTGAATGGCTCTAAATCCTAAATTCAATATTTACCTATGCAACACATAAATAAATTAATCAATATTTCTAAATTAAATGATACCAGTAATACTAATACATCAGAGTTGCCCCACATGCAGAATAACCTTATTTCTATACTAAATATATATGAATAAATGTTAAAATTAGCGAAAACTGAGTAATAGAGTAATATTTATAAGTATAACTTCAGTTTTATGGTCCCATACACATTTGATTTGAACCAATGACTGCAGATCAAAATAAAAAGGAATCGTCTTACTTGAACTAAGTCCGAATAGTGACGTCACGGTATCGTGCCTCGTACTACAGTGGAATTATGTAGTCGAATAAAGCATTTAGCTTCTGGCCAGGTAGGAGTAATTCAGGCTAGTAGAGGTTCCGAATACTGAGCGAAGCCCTACGATGTGTGGCTTGATGATTATCTGAGCGCTGCGCGCTGTTTGACTGCAATCGACATGTCCAAATCTGAAGATTCGACAAGAGGGAACTCCAAAATCCAAGGAAATTGATAGTCAAAAGGATTAGTGTAGAATAAAGAGTTGTAAAACAATACAAGAAGTAAAAAAACGGAAAAAGGAAAAAAGAAAAGGCCGAAGAGATAGCGGGTGGACTATGAGAGATTTTTTTATAGAAAATCAACAAAATCCTCCGCAGGTGAGTTTAATTCTCATGAATACTTAATATTGATTTTCTATTTAATTTTCTTTATTATTTCAGGCGAATATCCGAAAAATCGCGAATACAAAGCACATGCTTCAATTCCAAAAGCCCAAAAGAAAAGATAAGAAAAAAAAAAGAGGCAAAAACTTTTAAATTGATAAGAGACAAATTGCGCAGGAAAGTGCCAGGGACTTCTATAATTTCTAAGGTGGATAACCTGATTAATTTTTAGGAAAGAAGAAAAGAAGATTATTTCTTAAAAATGAGTGTTTTGTGATAATTAATGTCAAACAAATCTGTCGAATGTCGAATAAAGATGAAATATGACATTTGCAAATAAAAACAAAAGGTAAAATATGTAAACATGGTTTCACATTAATAAATAATTTCAAATTACAAAAATATATCTGATTCTAAATTATAAAAGATATGATACAAAAAGGTAACAGGTAACCCATATTTGATTAAATATTTATTAAAGCAATGATTTTAATCATTTATTTGTAGGTATAAAATAACATTTGAAAATTAAAGACGGTATCATTTTTGAAACCGTAACAATACTGTGGATATATTAGAAAGTGCAGAAGATATACTGCCGTGCTAAGCCTAAAGGCGGTAACCAACATTAGACAAAATGGTGGCAAAATCGATTTTAAAATCTGATACCATAATGTTAGTACTGTAGGAGTTTGTAGGACCAGTTGGGTTTTTTGTGCGTAAATAAATAAACAGTTTTTCAGGGTAATCATTAATTATATTCAAAAACATAGTTTTACTAAAAAAATGTAGATACCGCTATTTTACTTTATTAAATATTATTGCACTACTAAGCCGATAAGCGGCATGTGCGTTAAACTTTTAATCGTTATGAAATAAGAAACATATTTTTTGCGTTAGGATTTATTATAAACTACAAAACTCCAACGTTTATTAAAAAATACATTTAACACTAGATTCAATTTTCTTCATCATTGTCTGATTCATCATTCACCACCGGAATGTTTGACCAAAATTCTAATCTGTTTACAGGAATTATTTTATTGCCATTTCCATGGTTGCTATTACTTTGAATTAACTTGATAATACCATCTCGCCGTTCTACAGAAATTCCTCTAGGTTGCGTAACAGGATCTGGGATAGGTATTTTTCCTAATTTAAGTATATTTTTTTTTATAAAATCCAACGGCAAGGCAGGTTTTTCAAAATCGGTCTGGTAACTTAAAAAGGCACATATTTGTACAATATCATGTAAGTAAACCTTGTTTGAGTCTTTTGCTTTTTACTTTTTTGAGTGGTCTTTCCATAATGAAAAATCTTCAGTACTCATTTCTATTGTTTTAGCTTTAGTATTTTCAATTGCTAACTTGTAATCTTTAAAATCATATACTTTTTTCATAGTTTTTAATGATTTTTCTACGCTGTGATGAAATGAGTCCGCCGACATGAACGTATGTTCTGGTTCAAAATAATTTACTTCAATTTCGGAAGCTTCGATAAGTGAGCTGTTAACTACAAAAACCAGAAAGCTAAGAAACGCCCAGTTTTTATTTTGCGCACTGCAATTGTCGACCCAAAAAGTAATCTTTAGTCGATCTCTCTGACTTTGAATGTACTTTGCAAAGACACTTATAATATCTTCTTTTTTCCTACCACGTATAGCTTCATGCCAAATAACAGCCGTTGGTTGCTCTTTAGCCATGGATTTTAGTGGCACAAAGCTTTCATTGTAAGCCACAAGACGTTGCGTAAAAATTAGTGACTTAAACATTTCACACCTCGGTAACATAATTACTTTTTGTAAATCTACGGATACAAACAGATCTTTGCTGTTTTGTGATTTTATTTTATCGGCTTCATAAAATTTTCGAGCCTGTGTATATTTTTCATTATGAATTTTCCAATTTGAGCAAACTTTAGTCAGGTTGAAGGTTTTCTTTAGAGTGATCATGCAGTCTAAAAGTTTCGCACTGTTCGCACTCTTCATGTCCTAATTTGACGAATGATATATTGCGCTTCCGTAATATCGAACGATATAAATCGTATGAGCAAGTGAACTCTGGTGTTTTTTCCAAAAAATCGTCGTATAATCTTCATACAGAAAGATCACTTGGTAAGTAACGCCGAAATGGTGCATGTTCCCGCCTGTAGTGCGAGATATTCGGGTTAAAAGATTCAATGTGATTTATTATTATTTGATGATCTTTTACATTTGGGGGAATTCGACCAAATCTTTTGTCCTTTCTTGGAGAAATTACGGAAGCTTTTGCATCAAGCATATTTTCCAGTATTTTGTCATTATTTGGATGATAATCTAGGGTTGTTAAAAGAAAAGTTCTGCATACGCCCCAGGACTGACCATTTTCATCTGTTAAAAAGTAATTATTGGTAAATTTTCTTCTAGAATCTGACCCAACAGTTTTTCCTTTTACACCTACTTTTTGTACTGACCCTATTACAAAACTTCTTTGGTCGTATTTATTCATGCACCAAAATTGTGAATGTTTTCTCATGTCTTGGCCAATCTTGGTGGTGCATTTTTTTTGCAAGAGTTGTTGCAAGGTTCCCGAAGAGAATGCTTTTCTTTGATTTTTCTAAATTGTTTTGTTTTACGTTGTGAGCAGGTGTACTTAAATATTTTTCTCTTTCTTTTTTCGCCTCTTTTTGTAAATTCTGTTTCAATGGCATTAACAGAATCGTCACTAGTGCTCCCAGTCGTCTCTAATTATTGCTGTTCTATATCCATTCTATTTTCCTGAAGATTTTCGACCATTGTTTCGTTATTATTTCCTAAAAAGATAAATTATATTTTTATTTTATAAAATAAAAAAGAAAACTTTCAATTTTCAACAAACCTAGCACTTGTGCAAGCTGAAGGTAATTTGTTTTCCCTTCTTGTACTTGCTCGAGGGAACATTCACAATCTCTTCAGCTTGCTTTTCTAAAAGAAAAAGTTTCTAAATATTTTGGAGCCACTCTCTCAAAAGAGATGCATGCCATAAACACCTCGATGATTATTCTGTAACTAGTAACCCTTTTTTTTTATTTATACAATCACGAAATTTCTTTTATAAGAAATAAGTAAGTGTATTATTTATAAAAAAACAAATCATAAAAATAACATACCACACACTACAAGATGTAAATCATTGTCAACTTGGTGCTCTTTACCTACTGCGTCACATTCTTGAAGTAACGTCATATCGCCAAAGACAATAAATCTGGTTACATCTTGAAATATTTCTAGATCAAAAATTGCTATTATAATTTAAATACTTAATTTAAAAACAATCTTACCCTCCTCTCTAATTGTTTCTTCAATTGGCTGTTGTACGTCTCCTAGAGCTATTACATTATTTTCACTACTAAAAGAATCACGGGTATTATTGAGCAATAAAGCCCGTTTTAAAATTTGGTGTGCTCTACTTGTCATAATTATATTAACACAAAGTTTAACAATCGATTAAATACTTATTTTTGTCAAATACACAAAATCACTCTCTGTAAATGCTACTTGTTACTGTCATAAAAGATAATATTATTAAATAAAAGTAAGGTTATATGATGTTTATTTAGATATACTAGGGCAATTTCGCGGTTTCTACATCCACTGGCGGCATTTGCAAAGGTGTATTAGCGGTAAGTACAAAATATTATGGTATATTGGCGGCATGTGCAGGACATACCACCAATATACCGTAGTATTCTACACTTACCGCTAAATGGCGTAGGATTTCACTTTAAAAACGTAGATACCGCCAAAAAAATTGCAGTTTTATTTAAAATTGGTGGTTTTTACCGCTATAATACCTAAGTAAATCTGTTCAAAATATTACGTTCTATCTAGAAATGTTAAAACCTCATTTTCCGTAAAATATGTAGTTACCGCCTTTGGGCTTAGCACGGCAGTATAGGTGTCCAATTAGTTTGTATTACTATATTTAAAAGAGGCAATTCTTTTTTTAATTTTAATTAAAGAGCTCAAATGCAATAACTTTTAATGCTAGGATTAAAAGTGTTACTTAGTAACGAGCACATTTTTGTACACTAAGAGAATTATTAGCTTTTGCACCTGAAAATAGTACAAAAATGTCAATATTTATATTATATTACTTATAACCCTATTCTAGGGGACATTCATAAATATTACATTGCAAAATAAAATGAACCCAGTAACTGTCAAAAACTAAATAATTAATAATATTTTAGCTTCAAGCAGTATGTGATCATCAGCAGTATGTGATCATAATACGAAGCCTCTTTGTGGGTTTTCTAGGTTCGGTGCATGATGCACGAATATTCAGAAGAAGTCCTCTTTCCCAAAATTTAGCACAAAAGTGTGGAATTTTTTTCATTTTAGGCGATAGTGCATATGGTTGTACTAGACACCTAATTACACCTTACAAAGATACTGGAAATTTAACCCGCCCTCAGCGGCTTTTCATTACAAAGTTTTCTGTTTGTCGAGTTATTATTGAACATTGTTTTGGACTCCTAAAACAGAAGTTCTGACAATTATTTAATTGCAAGCTACAAAAAATTACAGACATTGTACATTTTAATTGAGCTTGTTGTTTACTTCATAACCTATCAATAAATGAATTCATTATACATGAAAATGAAAATAATGCTGGACCAGAAGACATAGATCCAGAACAGGCTTTAGATGATGATGAAGATATAGAAAGAGATATTCCCGAAGGAAGTGCTTATCGTGATTACCTTTTAAGAAGTTTAAATTTATGATTATTTATATTAATTTGTTTTAATTAAATAATGAAATAAACTTTTCAAAGAGACTTATTTTCCTTATTAAATATTCAAAATAATATTCAGTGCAGGTATGTACCTCAAACAAACAATCAAATAACATACTTAAAAACTATACTGGATTTTACAAAAAAGTAGGCCAATCCGTTGACCACAGATTCTTTAGGTCAGTGTAAGAAACTTCTATTATTTTTTCAATTGTTGCCATCATGTTAAATATACAGGGTGGCCAAGTTAATTTTAGAAAATGAATTTTTTATTATATTTTCGTCGTTTTATTAAGTAGATGGCTTAAAATTGGTACACATACCTCATAGAGGGTGCTAATGGCAAGAGTCCCCCTGTATTTTGAACATGATGGTCCCAATCGAGGTTTCTTACACTGACCTAAGGAATTTATGGTGAATAAATTGGCCTACTTTTTTGGGACACCCTGTAAAAACTGAAGAACAAATATTCTAAAAAACAACAGAAGACAGATATTCTAAAAAAAACTTAATAAAAAATACTATACATTTTAATGACTTTCACTAGGTATTTTTAAATATTCCTTTATTAATCGATTTCTTTCTTCAAGCAAATTATTCCTCCTTTTTTGTTCTTCAATTTTCTCTTTTTCAATGGCAAGTCTTTCCTTTTTAATTGAAACTTGTTCTTTATTGTATATTAATCTATCTTGTCTAATAATTTCTAATACATCAGTTCTACTTCTTTTTGTGTACCAAGCCTTGTAGGTTTGTCTTGTTTTTCTTGTTCTTTTTGGGAATAGCATTTTTCTTCTGAGATTCCTGTCGAACAGTTGAATTATCAACAACTGTGTCTTCAGACAATAGAATATCTGGGTTAATTTTCTTTTGTTTCAAAAATTCTTCTTCAATTTCTTTTTCAAACTTAAAATATTTTCTTTTTCTACCTGTTTTATTATTGTTATCTACAACGTTTTTAAAGTTTCTCTCTAGTGTTTTCCATTTATTATTGACTCTTTCTCTTGTCAACGCTAACTTGTACCTTTTATTTAAAACGTCTGCAATAATTTCAAACAGTTTCTTCTGGATTTTGATTGACTTGCCTACTTTTTTATAGTGTTCTTTATAAACATGGATCAGTGCATTAGTGGTTATATCTGTCCAATGCATATATTGATTTTCCGAATCTATGTTTGCATTAAACATAATTTGTTCCGACTGGACAACAGAGGGAACCGTGGCTAAAGCACTTTCAGATGGAAAAGACAAAAATTCTTTCAAATCTACAATAAGTACAACATTATTACTGAGGCATTCATCATATTTATAGAATAGTTCGAACAGTAAAGAAAGACAATTATTACTGAGCCTAAAACATAACCTCAAAATCTTCTTTTTTTAATAAATATAATCAAATGACCTGTAATTAGTTAAAACACTCAGCCACATATTTATTTTATTATCGTTCCAGCACACATTTTTTCAGAACTCATTCGGAATAGTATTCTGGTCACGCATGCGTATCAGATAACAAGTTTGGGACTCGCTTCGGGAACAAACCTAATATTGTTTAGTAATGTCGCGTTAATTATTTAAAAATAAGTTTATTTCTTTGATGTAGGTATACCTTAATTAACCAAATTGTAAGGTATCTTAGTAAAGTTAGATTTTGGGTACATAACACCTTCATCCACCAACTTTCAATCAAAAATGTTATAGGATTTATCTTAAATAAAGAAGTCATGTTGCTTTTGATTACATTTTTTAATATCATAGAATGATAAAATTTTACAAAATAAGATGTAAAATTTAAATCTAGTTAAAAACATTGGAAATGTTTTAAGATCAAAAAACTAATAGGTTTTTCTTTTCTTCTTTGGATTTTCAACGTTTGTTACGCTCTGCCCTTACTTATGAAAGGGGCCAAGCGTAATTTCTACTAGCTCCTTAAATTTTTTGGTTTCCGGAGAGTAGGGTCGGGTCCTTAGTCAGAACTTAATAAAAAGCATTCTCGTCTGACAGCTATTTAATTTTGGAGGCAAGATGAAATAAAAATATGTCAAAAAATAATATGGGAAAAAAATATGAAATTATCACGCCGATATATCGGTAATTATATATATTATAATAGTGAGTATATGTAAAAAGAGGTCCCCGAATAGTACTATCCGTTACAAACCCGTACTTATACCACGTAAGTATTAATCTGACTCTTAATAACAAAAGATATTTTCGTAACTATAAAAATCTACTGAAATATATCCAGTCTATTCATTAGCTATTTGATACGGTAAATATTAGCTTGTCCTACGGAATTAATATTAAAATATTTGTAGGTAGTTCCTAAAACGGTATGTGGCCGGTTTGAGGTTATGTCGGAACCTCGTGGCAGATGGGGGCCTTTAATGTAAAGGAATGGTCTTACTTGTGATATCGATGATCAGTCGCCTGGTGCAGCTTGCTATACTTTCGGTCCCAAGCAAGGTTTCACAAGGGTAAGCGGCAAACAATCCTTAATTAGTAAGAAGGGTTGATCCTGGGGTAATCAGTCTTGATAAAATCCTTCTGTCTTGCCTGTAGAATACGAACTGATACTAACAAGTTAAGCAGGAGGTGCGGTAGATTAGCTATAAGCGATAGCGAAGATAGCTTGAAGAAGAAGGAAGAGCCGTAAAATAGTAGAAGGTGACTCGGAAAGTTCCCAGATAATTAAAAGGAGGTCTGAAAGAGGGATTTGCATAAGCCATACATATAAATAGCCTTATAAACTATAGGTAAGCCAAGAAAGCTGTCTTATTTAATTTTAAGGACTCACCTGGAGCTGTTGGGCGACCTTTTTAGTTGTAAATTCAGTCAGTAAATATATTTAAATCCACCAAAAGGTGATTCAAACCACAACGATTTATTTGGTATATTTTACTAACTGATTTAATCGTTTTTAGCTCAACATTCAGATCCTACTAACAGTAGAACATATGGCACATGTTACCACAAAGCTAAGCTTATAAAAACTGACTCAAGGAAGCTTCCCAAGATGGTAGAAAATCCATGTAAGTCAATAAAAGGTCTTTAATAGTCAAGGTTAACAGGACAAAGTCTGGTAAGAGTGTGACCCTTATTGTTAAAAGAAGAATTTGACATGTGTGGATGTCATAAAATAAATGTAAACAAATAATAACATGTACTTATAGATATCAGATATTTAAAAGAGTTATGTGTACTATTTTGTGTAGTAAAATACAGTTCTTTGGACTTTAAAGTATTCACTAGATGTAATCAGGCTGACAAATATAAGACAAAAGGTTAGAATGGGTTTTAATGTAAAATAAAATACTAAATTAGGATCCTTACGATTCAAGTTTAGAATTTAGTAAATCGATCGATTATATCCCCAGTAGGAGTAAATAAATAGGGAAAATATAGGACACAATATATATAAAAAGAGAATAGAGTTACAATAGAATAATGTAGAAAAGACTAGGTATATAATAGGGTAGATTAGTAATTAGAGTAGCTTAGGGTAAGTTAGAATGGAGTAGAAATAGAATAGTGTACATAGTTAAGCTTATAATAATTTAGGATAGCGTAGAATAGGTTAGAAGTAGAGTAGTGTAAATAGTTAAGCGTAAAATAGTATTAGAATAGATTAAGATAGAATAGTTTAGTTTAGGATAGTCTAAGATAGAATAGTTTAGTTTAGGATATATTAAGATAGAATAGTTTAGTTTAGGATAAAATAGTATATATTAGGCTAGAATTAGATATAAATTTAGTATAATCAATAACAAAATAAAAAAACTATTTATTGTTTACACACTTTGCTGTTTTGGCTAAAACTATTCTAGATAGAATTTTTGACCCGTAACACGTTTTCACTCATAATTTCTTCATAATACCACAAATAATCTTTGTCAATGCACTTCAGCTGCTCTCTTAAGTTATCCATTTTTTCGGTAGTTAGACTCCACATTTTGGTAAGTTAATTAATACCACTTTGTTAGAGAGGGCATCTTTTGTCCCTTTTTGCGCAATTCAACTTGCAGAAATGAGGTAAAGAGATCTAATTTTGCTTTGTAATAGTAAAACCCAAAATGGTCTTCTCTGATCCATTTGACACTCTCTTAAATTTATTTTCTCGTTAAGAGAATTACTTAATTTTTTATATAAACAAAGCTTGGTAGGAAGCTCTTCTAAGTTATAAAAATAGTTTTTTTTATTGAAGCATAAACTGTTCTTCGTACTCTCAGACTAGTCTCGATACTGGTCCTGAATTAAATTTTTTCTGATGTTTTCACAGTACCTACTTTCTCAATCCGTCCAAAGTTATGATCGGAATCCAAATAGCTATGACCGATTTCGGGAAATGTATAAACTATTACTTAAAAAAATATATTATTATTAAGTATTAGGTACTGGTAAAGGCACAATATGAAAAAAAATTTGTTCTGGCCACCGCATGAATCGGATAAGATTATTAAGTGTGCAATATCAGGATGCTCCTCTTTGAGTAACTTACAAAATCGCAACAAACAGCTACCAATTTCATTACTTCCCCTATTCGCAGAGTTTCTAGTTCCAGGTAAAAAAAATGACTTATGTCCCGAATAGGCAATGCAATGGATGTCAAAGTTATAGAGCCACATTTGACGCAAGTAAAACGCTTTTGATGTAGATAACTTTGGTAACGGCATGGTTTGTTGAAGATCCATAGTAATGTAGCACAATTTTTTGTCAATGGCAGGAGTTGCTCGGTCTAATGTTTGTGCCTTAAAAGAAAATTCATAATTTTCTTTGTGCTCTAGCGATCTCTCCCCAGCATCACAGACACTACAAGTGTCGCTTTTTGGGTACCCGAAGAACAAATTGAACTTTGTTTCAAAAATATGTCTGTGCAAAAAACCTTGACCATATATTTGTCATCCATTTTTTTTCTTACATTGTTTAATATAAAGCTGGTGTAGTCGAGTGATATTAAGTAGAGAAGAGAGGTATTTTTTGCTATGGTTTTTATTCCTAGAGTAATTGGACTCTTCTGCAGGAAACTGATTAATATAACCCACAATATTTTCTACTACATCATCATCTATCTTCTAAGGACGAGTTGTATGACGTCCTCGCTTATCTGGTGATGGGGCCGAGTAACCATTTTTTAGTAAATTTTGTGTTATTTCTATTTTTTCTACCAATTGCAATATAAGCTGCAAAATGCGTTGCTACACACTTAAATAAGTTGTTTGTCATATGTCACTGAATATTTAAAGGTGTATTTTTTTTTTTTTTGATAATTTTCGGTTAGATTGATGACGAGAAATTGATGAAATTTTATTGCTTTTAAATACCAAAGTATTTTTTGCATTTACGTCCAATCCACAAAACTTATTTCTCTATCTTTGGAACTAAATTTTTCTTTGCATTTCATGCGGCAGTTTTGTTTGCAGAACACCCCTTCTTCTACTGCTTTTTTCTTCATTCGTTTTCCCGTTTGCGAAACATATTCTTCGTCCTTTTGTCTCAATATTGCTGCTGTTTTTCGTTTCCAATTGTCAGGATTGCGCATTCTTTTCTTTGACATCTTGGGTAATAATTCCATAAAACCATATTATCAATCGATATGCCCCTAAAATCCTGTGTTTGCTATAGATGAGGTCGTAAAGTGTCTATTAATTCGCGAACTAAGACTTTATTGAGGCGAAATAATTCAATAGAACATCCATCCACAAGAAGAAAAGGATTGCTGTTCCGTCGTAACAAACGTTTTTCTCTTATTAAGGCCAAATTTTCTATGATATCATGCAGTGTGTCGCATTTAAGATGAAGACACCCCTATTTTGACTATCTAAATAAATACAGATTTGAAGTTTTATACAGTCATACAGGGTGATGGTTCACATTTTTTAAGATACTCAACTGAAATTTAAATTTTAAACGCGGCCTACTGCGAATCCACAAACAGGGTCAATTTTCGATATTTTTCTTTGCGTTATAGATATCAGAAAAAGTTATTCCGAAGATTATTCTAATCCCACATACCAAATTTCATGACAAAATTCGCATTTTTAGTTTTTTCATTATTTTGGTCAATACAAAAAAATTATTAAAGGTTGATTTTTTTATTCGATGAACTAGTATGCCATGGAAAGGGCATTAATGATTTCACAAGTTTCAAATTATTCCGATCCATGATACACTAGTTTACCGAATAAAAAAAGTCAACTTTTACTAATTTTGTGTATTAACTAAAATAATGAAAAAAAAACAAAATTGCGATTTTTTTTCATAAAAT